GCAATCTCCAGCATCCTTGAGCCACCTGAAGCAGGTCCACAGATCACAGACGGAGCATCATGACTGCACAGAAAAGCACAGAGAAGCAGGCACGCTGGTGCTCACTGCTGCCAGCGCAAGCAGAGTGGCCTGTGTCCCTCCAAGTCACCAGAAAGAAAAACATAAAAGGTGAATAAAAGTACTTTTGGAAATTGCTATGAAAGTATCGTATAATTCAACATTCCGAGCCCATGGAGGGGTCATAGCCTGTTATTAAAAGATCTGCCTGGGCTACAATTATGCCCTTCCCTTACATTCTAACAGAGCCTAAGACTCCTTCAGTCAGAATCTACGCCTCTCATTGATCTGCAGGATATGCATAGGAATAAAAGACAGAACATAGTGATAAAATGATCGTCTATATTCAGAGATGTGTGAAATTTAATGTAAAGTGAACTGCTCATATAATGTGGAGTTTGCTACTGCAGTATGTCTTTTCCTTCTGATTTCAGTGAATTGCACCGCAGTTCTTCCATATAATTTAAATATGAGCCAAGTGAAGTAGTATTTAATTAGTATCAAGATTTGTAACGTTGCATGCTCAACTAAGAACTTTGCAAGATCTGCTGAGTAGAGGTGTGTGCCCCAGCTCACCTAGGAAGTTGGTTCCACACTTTGTGATGGCTCCTAATTCAACTTTTCTCTTAGCCTCACTTTCTCTACCCAAAGTCAATCGTCTATACTGGCTTCATGTCTGAGGCATACGCTGCAGTGACTCATGAGAGTTCGGAAGAACTAAGAGTACTTCTAAAAAGAGTACAGGTACTTCAGGTGGAAGGAAGCAGAAGGAGGAACAGGCCCGGAAAGGAATAAAGAGCTAGTCAATCACATGTCAGAGAGAGAACATCAAGATGAAATGTATTTAGCTGAGTTGCTAAAGATACGCAGAGCGTGAGTACCAGCCGCAGCACATAGCATTGCCCAACCTGCATCAATCAAAGCATCTGCAAGGAGAATTATGACCACTGGATTCTTTACATCCTTTTAAGAAGCTTGAAGTATTATATTTTTATTCTGACCTTCATTTAATGACTTCAGTAAATATTCTTAATAAGGAATTATGATTACCTTTTATGGATTCAGATTAAAGGTAACCTGATTCCTTGCAAGAGTGATTTACAAAGTTAATGCCTAAATTTCTCATTCTTTATCAAAAATCTACATAGTAGATTGATATGTACATAAAGGCTAAGAGTTTGGATAAAACCATGGCTTTATGAGCAGACTTGCCTTCACAAATTTTGAAAATTCATATAAATAACCAAAAACTTGCTGTAACATTTTAATAGAAATCTACATTTTCCTGGATAGTTTTCTCCTTTTGATTTTTGAGAGTTTTATACATATATACATATGCACACCATTTCTGCCTCCCCTTCCCATACAACTTCTTGTTTTCTAATGAGAGACAGCTAGCAGGGGGCTTGAGATGGGAAGAATTGAGATGGGAAGGCGGGAGGAGTTAGAAGGAATAGAGGGAGGGAAATGGCGATCAGGATATACTATATGAAAAAAATCTTTTCAATAAAAGAAAAATCAATAATCTTTTTATCCTATAAGAAACTTTTTGACTAGATGCACAATATAATAAATGCAAGCCTTTGCCTTTTTAAATCCTGTCTCAAACGCCTAGGCACAGAAGTCGTTAAAATTTTTATATAAAAATATAAACTAAATATATTTAGGGATAAGATTTAAACTACATACAAGATTAATTTCTTGTTTACCTTACACAAATACCTGAAGGTAATTTTTATAAAAATGTTTGTTTAGCCACATTGTGACTATTACATATAACAGGAATGTTAATGTAAAATTTTACACTTTGTCTGTACTGAGATGCTCCAAATTTTGGTGCATTGCACACTTCAGATTTTCAGGCTATCTATGTTGCATGTATATAAAGTTTGAGTTTTATAAAATTACTATCAAAAGGTATTGCTGTGATCCACGGGACTATGAGAATTATGGGAGTTAGGACTTACTGCTTCAAAGTCTCACATACAAACAAGCCTTTCCGTAGCTTCACAACATGCTGTGAACACACTAGCCTTTTTATATTTTCACAAGTAGATTTTAAATGAAACCATATTCTATCCTTTAATAGGTGCTCAAATAGACAGACACAGGACAGAAACAGTGCTAATAGCGATCAAACTTTTACACGTCTGGCTATCATTGTTAGCTGTAGAAAAGCTGTCTGCTCACAATGTTGATCCCGACCCGTTTGCTTTTTTTTGTCATTCACATAGTGCTAAGGAATTAGATCACTTATGATAAATGTCTACAGTCTTCTGCTAACAAGCGACATTATGTACTGCTAAAGATGGAAATTAGGTAGAGCTATGCTTCATAAATTTCATTTGTTGATATACAATGGAAAAAATGAAAAAAACAATAAATATTTCATATGCTTGTTTGAAAAAAATGGCTAGAAACCAAGACTCAAGAAATCATACCTTACCCAAAAGTCAGAAAACAGTAGACCAAGGCCACATGTCTGTCTCCCTTATTAGACTGGATACCTTTCCATGTTCAAGGGTCATTACAAAGAGCTTTAAGAAAACAATGAAAGAATTCTACTATAAAGTTTAACAATGTGGTGGTTGGTTTAAATTGTCAATTTGGCACAATCTAGAATCATCTACAAAATCTCAATGGCAGAATATCTGGACTAGGTTGATCTATAAGTAAGCTTATGGAGAATTATTTTGACTATGTTAATTGAAGTGGAAGATTTAACCATGGGTACGGAACATCATTCCCTAGGCAGGGTATTTTGGTTTACATAAGGCTAAAAGTATATGCAGAAGAGACAAGAAGAATATAAAGACCACAGGTGATGGATGGCTCTACAGAAACTGTGTCTTCCAGACACAGCAGAAGTAATGTACAAATGAATTCATGAAGACTGGGACAGCACACGTTGGTCCTACACAGGTTCAAGCCAGATAAATAAGCACTGGAAAGGGAAAGTGGATACAAAGCCCCACCCATTACCAAACTGCTCTTTGTAATTGATACCCGCTGGCAATTTAAAAAAAATGGTTTTCTATAATGGAGTCTCACTGGGTATATCCAGGGAAGGGCTTATACCCAGAAGTAGCTGACCAACATTGAGCAAATACAAGATTAGGTTGTCATTTGGGGAAGGATTTAGTGTTTGTTTTGACTTGTTTTGTCTTATTTTTCTTGACTTGTTTTGTTTTATTTTTCTGTCTTTCATTTTGAGAGAGAAAGAACATGAAGTTGGGTGAGTAGGGAGGTAGTGAGAATATGGGAGAAGTTGTGCGAGAAAGCATGATCAAAACATATTATATACAAATGTTATCACAAAGTCTCTCTTTGATAAATTTTATTTTTTATTATCAAGACAAATTACATCTATTTATGGAGTACAGGATAATGTATGTATCCAATGTGGGATGGTTAAATTAAGCCAATGAGCAGCTATTGTATCACTTGTCATTTTGCTATGAAGCATATGAAATTTACCTTCCTTACCATCTTAACCTTCCACGTTATATACCTCAAAACCTGCACACTTGAAATTATGTGCATTTTTCATGCTCCCTCTCTCCTACTTCCTCATTCCCAGTGTCTCACAGTTGTCTTTGTACTCCCACAAATGAATTTGTTTAGACTCGATGTATAAGTGAGGTTGCATAGTTATCTTGCTATGTCTGGTATATTTCCACTTAGCATAATATCTTTCATGCCCATCTATGCTATCGCACATGACAGGGTCACCTTTTTCTAGAGATAGAGATATATCTTACTTTTAATCCTCCCTTAATTAATGAGAATGTGGGTGGATGATTCTATGTTAACACTACTTGAGCATTGCTTGCATGGAAATGAGATGCAGGTATTGCATGCATTGACTTCATTTCCTTTGGATAACAAAGAGAAGTAGAATAATTAGATCATGTGTTTATTCTATTTTTAGGTTTTGGAGGATCCACATTGTATTTTCCCTAATGTATATACCAATTTACAATCCCACAGAGTTTGCAAGTATTACATTCCTTTCCAATTTGGCCAATAGTCATCATTTGTTAATTTGATAATGTCGTCTCTAACTGAAGAGGGGAGGTGTCTCAGTGTAGCTTTCTTTTGTAGTTTCCTAGTGATTAGTGATGTTCAGCAACCTGTTTCTCTTTTAATTTTTATTTCAGGAAATGTTTATTCAGGCCCCTTGCTCATTTAAGACAGTGTTATTTGCCTACAAACCATGTTCTGTATGTTTTGGACATTAGCCATCTCTTGATATGTATATCATTTGCAAATACTTTCCCATCTCAGGAGCTTCTATTGACTGTTTTGTTTTGCTTTGTACATTGACACAGTCCAGTCTACTATGTTTTGGTTTGGGCAGGTCCATGTCTGTTCTACCATGTTTTGGTTTTGGCATGTCTATGGCCTAAATCTCTTATCTAAAAAGTCATTTTCTAAATGACTGACATCGTCCTTCTCTGTGTTCTGTCATCTTATAGTTTAAGGTAATATTTATAAGTTCTTAATCCATTTCAGTCAAGTTACGGCTTCAGGAGTCATCCGTTTGGGATGCATCTTTCTCAGTACCCTAGCTTTTCTACTTTAGTTAATTTCCAATGAAAGCGTGTCTGGCCCTATTTGTTATTTGGCTTTTGATAACTCTGTTTTGTCCCCACTAGAGAACTCCTGAAGCAGCTTTAATGCTTATCACATTGAACTGCACTAAACTGCAGCTAAGACTTCAGATGATCTTCCTTCAAGTCAAGGCAGAGTAAAACTTAGCTGTTACTCATGATTGTCCTACAATGCACACAGCATCACTGTTCGCAGCAATATATTCGAATGTGAGGAGAGATTCTATTTAGATCCCGTATCTTGTGCTTTTGCATTGATTTCTCATAAAGCAAGACTTTCTATTCTCCTTCTCCCCTTTATCCAGCCTGAATTGATTCTGTCCTCCTCAGAGAATTTCCTGAAGTTACTTCTGCACTGCACTGCAATCTTCTCAAGTGTATCCTAGAGAGCCTAACAGAAGCCTTACAAAATCCTCATCACCTGGAGACGACAGAAAGGAGCTGTGACTCACTGTCATTCTGAGGGAGACAATGCAGTTTCAACCATTTTTGTAAGAAAAGCTATTCAAATTCTCTGGCGGGTCAAGTGGTTCTGATTAAGAAATTTCGAGCATAGAATAAAAATCAAAACTTTCTTTTCTGTTTTTCTTTTAACAGATGCAAGAAACTTCTGAATTTCCTGAAACTGCAAGACTAATGAGGTGGGGACTGGAAGATGGCTCCGCTGAGTAAGGTGCTTGCCACTAAAGCTGGTGACCCGAGTTCGATCCCTGGGATACACATGTTGGAAAGACAAAATTGACTCTCCCAGGTTGTCCTCTGACTTCTGTGCCCCAAGACCCACAAAATAAGTAAATAAAATTTTGTTTGAAAAAAAGAACAATGAGATGATATTATTGCTGGAAACATTCTAGAAACTCTCCCAGCTGCATAACCTCTTTTAAAACATGCAATGACAAATCCTATTTCCAGGAAAAATTTTGATTAGATGAATTGTCAAGGATCCACCCTTGGATTGCTGGCCCACATATCACTCTGGTTAGATGAGCTGGGTGCCCTCTGTCTAAGTGTTTTTATGTAAGTGCTAAGAAAGCCCATCTTGAGTGGTTTATGAACAATTTCCCCTCAGTTCTGGAGAGCAAGGGTCACCCAGTCATCACAGTTGTTTATGTCTTCTTAGAAAAGTTGTTCCAAGCCCCATCACTGGTGTGTCTAAGTGGTGCAAGGCAAGAGTTTTGCTAAGTTGTAAACCTGCTTTTAGGTTAGAAACAGCCAATGCATACTTCCAACACTGACTTGCTAGAGATGCAATTAAAATGTCAGGCCGCATCCACTTCTCGTGGTAAATTTGTAATCTTATAATATAGTACACTGGGTGAAGGCAGTTGGAAAATTTGACCTGATTTTGCTTCCATTTCACCGTATAGTGAATAAATAAAATATAATTATGAGACTAATTGTTCACAAGAATGGCTCTCTGAGGAGTCGTTGTGCTGACCTGCGGTTTTCAGCATAATGAACATGAAAGGGAAGACACTGTAATTCTAGCATCTGAGGAGAGGAACAGGCTGCATGCCTACAGCTGCAGGAGCTGAAGAGCTGAGGTAGTGGAGTGATGTCCTGGTCATTCATGACCACCTCACAGGCATGGTCCAATGTGCACAGAGCACTTTGTCCATCCTGCATCGTGTATCGATGGCTCTTTCATGAAAACCAGCATCCTTAACCTAACGAGCTATAGACTTGCTTTCCAGATTAATTATGGACCAATTCCAGTGTTCAATGACAAATGATTCCAAAGAGCAAGATAAGTTACTGCCTCTCAGCCTTTCTTTTCCATCGTTTGGAGTTGCTTTCACAGGCAAATATTTTAATAGAGGAGGTTTTAGTTGGAGATGGTTGACTATCAGGAGACTAAACATTAGAGGTGACAAACATGGCCTAGAGTTGTCAAGGATAAAAAATAATTATTTTTTAAGGAATTGATGAAACTGTTTAGCAAGCATAAAAGAAATGAAAATTTTAAGATGCTTCAAGGATTACCATGGATGAAGAGCCTGAACATGTTATAGAGAATGGTATGAGGGTTAGAACCATAGCCATAGAGGATGGCGTGAGGGTTAGAACCATAGCCATAGAGGATAGCGTGAGGGTTAGAACCATAGCCATAGAGGATGGCGTGAGGGTTAGAATGCTTTTTGTGGCCATCACAGATGGTCCTAGCTAATATCCTTACATTAATAAAAATCCACAGATTGACTCACAAGAAATAAACATAACAAATATATTTAATAATCTCTATGTCTGTGTGTATGGCATATGTCTGTATATGTGCTAATGTGAGAGTATGCACATGTGTGGGTGTATATGCATGTACATGTCAGACACACTAGAGGGGTCTTCCTCCCTAGTCATTTCCATCTTATTTCTCCAAGACAGTGTCTTTGTTGAACATTGAGATCACTGATTCAGAAAGCTGAGCTGACAGGCAGTAAGGTGCGTTGATCTTCCTGTCTTACCTCAGCTGCTGAAGTGACAAAAACCCATGCCAGATCTTTTACCCTAGGTGCTGGAGAGTTAGGCTCTGGTCCTTATGATGGTTTCACAAGAATTTTCCTCACTGACTCATCCTCTTAGCCCTTGATCACAGTTTTATATGATATATGAGCTTTAGATCAAAGACCAAAGATCCAGGGTGGCTATCCATTTGTCTACATGGGTTCAGTAAAGCACCGACCACCATTTAGAAGGGTGAGGAGACAAAAGCACTATGCAGTGATGCAGTAAGAGTAGAATCCCAGCCACTCCCCCCTCTTGCAATGCTTTGAGATGTTTTATTATGGACCTGGTAAGGAGCATCCCTTGCCTCCGAGACTATGGCATGCTCCCTTTAGAAAGAGGGGTTTCAGTGCTCACAGGAGACAAGCTATGTTAGAGAATTTCTAAGATCAATACTGACACAGAAAGAAGGAAGAAAAATGGAAACAATATTTTTAGACATTACTGCTTAGTTTACAGAAAAGACACTCGGAATTCGACAGCCCTCACCCGCACGCCATTTCATAGAGAAGAGACTCTACTTTCTGTGACTTGCTTTAAGGAGAGGAAGGGGATCAGCAAAAAGGAAGCTAAGAAATCAGACAGATTCCACATTTGGAGGCCTATTTCTGAGGTCTTGTGATGCCCAATGCTAGGGTGACTAAACATGGTGAGTTTGGAAACAGGGTCAGGGATGGAGTACATGATTTCCTCAAACTCAGGCTTCATCTGAGTGTCATTCTGTTTCCACATCCATAAAGGGAAAGTAGGCATCAATTCATAGGATTCTTGGGAAACATGAATGGGACAATTTGTAAAACTGTTTGCTGATCACTTACGTAATTGCTAGTAAAAAGATTCAAAAAGAAAAACCCTTCACATCTGTAGCCAAATGTCCTATTATTACGTTTATAGCCTCAGAGCTCAGCACATACTAAACATTCAGGAGAATCTTTTAAAATTGTTTCATATATACATATGTGCTAAATGTCTTCTGCATATCCCCTTGCCACTGAAATGCCAAGCCTCCCTTTCTAAGCTGCTCTGCTCCAGTGTGGTCCTGCTGGAGGCATCCTCATAATTGCTTCTTTCCCCTGAAAGGAGCTATGTGGGACCTGGGTGGACTGCTTGCTCTAGGAAGAATCACAGCTAACTGAACAGCCCAAGAATCAGTTCAGGAATCAATCTCATCCAGGCTGTGCACTTGCATTTAATGGTCCCCATAACAATTTGTTCCACCGATGAAGTGCAAAGTTGCGTTTTAAGATAAGCAGTCACATGTTCAGCTAAGCCACTAGAGCAGGCTCCTTTCCCTAGCACCATATCATTCTCCTTGATTGCATTTTGCTGGGATCGTGAGCAGGTATTGCTATGCTGCATTATTTGGATTTTAAATTCAAATTTTCTGTAAATATTTATGCTTTGTGTGGGAAGAGCAAGTTGGCATTACTGATAAAATAGGCCCAAGGAAAGGCAAACCTCTCTCCAGGCATTCTAAGGTGGGGACAGACCTACAAAAGCCTCCTGGCTTTAGAATCAGAGACAGGATGATGCTGATCCTCTAGTTGAGCCAACCCAAGTGAGTGTTCAAATTGCAGATGAGGGACCTCATTTCCAGGAGCACCTCACTTCATTACCTGTAGGTCTGCTGGCGATTAGCATTTTGACAAGTTCCAGCTGTTGCTGATTGGTCAATTCCAAGTGCCTACTTGGAGAATGGGTGTTCTAAAGGAAAAGTGAGAGCCTAACCACATGCAGGGTCTTTCCCTAACAAAAGGAGTTTTATGAATGAGTTTCATGGATCCACATTTTTTTTCTCTAGCTGGAATAGGGATGTGGCTTGGAGGTGGGAGAGCACGTGAGATCACATGCCTGGAAGTCCTCCACGGGACAGGAAGACTCATGGGAGCCAAGTACCTTTAGCGGCACACTGTAGCTTTTGGCTTCAGTATCCTGCAACTCCTGGAAGTTCCAAATGGAGCCTTGCAAGGAAGTCAGCATAGCATGGGGGACTCTGGCAAAGAAGGGCATGACTTTCCAGTCAACTTGCCCCAGGCAACAGTAAAAAAAGCGGACCCAAATACAGATGGTGGTTCTGGGAGATTGCAGCACTGCTGGGGCCCTGTGTGAAAAAAAATGGAGCCCAAAGTAAAACCCTTTGGCACGTCAGAACCAGAACCCTGAAACTCAAGGCTAGAAGTCAGTTCTTCTGGTCCTTGAGCCCATGGACAGAAAATATCAGTATTCTGTGTCTTTTGCTGTTTACAAGATAGCAAGAGCACTGCGGTAAAGAAGCCACGTTTTAATGTGGTCCTATTTCCATTGCACAAACACGAAGCTTTACTTGCAGAAGACTTTATCTTTGTACATTATGTTGACTGTGTCATTTCTCAACTGAAAACTTAACCGTAGTGTGTTCAATGCACAGCCATTCCCATACCTCTGGTTCTACATGCAAGGTTCTGCCGTGGCCCCTTGCTACTCAGCTGTCCTTGTACCAGCAGGAGCATCACCTGAGAACCTTCTAGAAGTCAGCTGGCCAGGCCTCTCCCCTGGCTCCCGGTGCACATCATAGTCATCTAAGAACTGCTTCATATTAACCACTGTCTCTCTCGGATCCCCTTAGCTATAATCAGTGTGTCTGTGTTATACATATTGAATGGCGGCCTTGACTATTATGCCAGGTGCAAAAACTACTTCAGAATCATCATTCTGTTCTCAGAAATGTTTATTACTTTTTATGTTATTGGCACAAACTGGCTCTTTACAGAAAGCCCAGAGAGAACTATCCTCAAAAGCGAGGATGAGAACATGACTTGTTCAGTAGTAATAGCAGCAGTAACCAGAGACAGCACTCCCCAGTCCCCGATTTTACACCTGGCTCTCGGGCCCTCTGCTGCTCTAAAAGCCTTGCAGGGGAACATTGATTCCCTCCCACTGCCAACCATGTCTGCTCAGAATTACCTAGGATGGTACTTAGCAGAAAGCAGGGCTGTCAATCTCCCCACCTGCTCCTAACTTCAGTGATAGTCCCGAGTGCCGAGTGAAAACAGTGTCGAAAGACCGCAAAGCCTCAGCAATGCCTTGTATTCTCTGCTCCGCTTGTGGAGAAAGGCAGTGGTCCATGGTCGCCCAGGCAACAGAGGTTACACGATGAGAGCTGTGCACATGGGAGGGGGCATGGACTGGAGCCCATCTGAAGTATCTCTAGAATTTCTTTGAAGTCACAGATGTAGGGAAAACTGGAGCCTCTGTTTTCCAGTCTCTATATTTTACATAACTGGTGTAGATGATTATTA